TGGGTTTTTGGGGTTTGCACTTGTAGGTTGGTCCCCCCTTCTTCGGTGCGGGGATTATAACTTAAGGGTAACGTTGTAATACATAAACCTGTTATGTACGGTTATATTTGCGGCACCGAGGAAATATTGTTTACTTATGGATTAATATTTTCATGCGTTATCATTAATTTCGATGCCGGGGCATATTTCTTTTATTTTATTTTGTGTTTTCTGTTTTTTTTTATTTTTCTGTTATTTACTTTTTTGTGACTGCTTTTGGAGGTTGTGTGTGACATTGTATAACAAGTGTTATGGGTTGACATCATCAAAGGGCTTTATGAGACTTGGAGGGTTTTTTAAAATAAAAAAAAAAAAATTTGTTAATTAAAATTATGCAAAACCACTACACCTCTGTTGTATATAAAAAGCAATGTTCATTCGAAAAACAAATATATATTTTCTATATTAAATAGTCTGTTAGGCATTATATTTTAATCTCCCGAAATCCTGGGCTCATTACTTTTTTTGTACTTAGCTAATCAATTTTGTAATTACACATTGAAAAACTAAAAAAAGGGCAAAAAACTCCTTAATCCTTAACCTTTTGCACGTTTTCTCCTAAAGGAACACCGAACTTTTTCCCCGAATTCCTCCCTCATTTTACTCTAAAACTGTCTTATTGTACCAATAATTACTCCTCCTTCGCTTTTTAACATTCCCCCCGATTTTCCCTTTTTTTTGCTTGTATGGGGAAAAATGTGTGGTGTTTAGTTACCATTTGGTCCAAGGACTGTCGATTAAAACTAGGGGGCCCGTTGTAGTGCAGGTATTGTTGTATTGGTGTGTGAAGGTGGGGTATTGTGTTGGTGTGTTTGTTGGGGTGATGTGTGGGTGTGTGTGTGTTTGTGTGTTTGGGGGTGATGTGTGTGTCTGGTGTGGTGTGTGTAGGGGATGTTGTTAGTTGTGTGTGTGTTGTGTGTGTGTCTGTGGTGTGTTTGTATGTGTAGTGTGTGTATGTGTGTGTGTGTGTGTATGGTGTTTCTGTGTGTGTGTGTGTGTATGTGTTTTGTGTGTTGATGTGGTGTGTGTGTGTTTTGTGTGTGTGTGTGTGGTGTGTATGTGTGTGTGTGTATGGGTGTGTGTGTGTGTGTGTGTGTGTGTTTTGTGTGTGTGTGTGTGGTGTGTATGTGTTGTTGTCTGTGTGTGTGTGTGTGTATGTGTATGTGTGTGTATGTGTGTGTTGTGTGTGGTGTGTTGTGGGGTTTTATGTGTGTGGTGTGTGTGTGTGTTTGTTTGTGTGTGTGTGTGTGTGTGTGTTACTCACCTATTATATATATGTGTGTGTGTGTGTGTGTGTATGTGTACTCACCTAGTTGTGGTTGGAGGGGTCGATTCATAGCTCCTGGCCCTGCCTCTTCACTGGTCGCTGCTGGGTCACTCTTCCTGCTTCATGAACTATATCATACCTCTTCTTAAAGTTATGTATGGATCTTGCCTCCACTACATCACTTCCCAGACTATTCCGCTTCCTGACAACTCTGTGACTGAAGATATACTTCCTAACGTCCCTGTGATTCATCTGAGTCTTCAACTTCCCTTGTTGCTGTGTCCCATCTCTGGAACATCCTACCTCTGTCCATCTTGTCAGTTCTCAGTATTTTATATGTCGTTATCATATCCCCACTATCTCTCCTGTCCTCCAGTGTCGTCAGGTTGACTTCCTTTAACCTCTCCTCGTAGGGCATGCCCCTTACCTCTGGGATTGGTCTTGTTGCAAACCTTTGCGCTTTCTCTAGTTTCCTTACGTGTTTGGCTAGGTGAGGGTTCCAGACTGGTGCTGCATACTCCAATATAGGCCTAACGTACACAATGTACAGGGTCCTGAACGATTCCTTATTGAGATGTCAGAATGCTGTTCTTAGGTTTGCTAGGCGCCCGTATACTGCAGCAGTTATTTGGTTGATGTGCGCTTCAGGAGATGTGCCTGGTGTTATACTCACCCCAAGATCTTTTTTCTTGAGTGAGGTTTGTAGTCTCTGGCCCCCTAGACTGTACTTCCTCTGCGGTCTTCTTTGCCCTTCATCAATCTTCATGACTTGTACTTAGTGAGTTTGAATCCAGGAGCCAATTGCTGGACCAGGCCTCATACCTCGTCTTAAAACTATGTATGGTTCCTGCCTCCACCATGTCACTAGCCAGACTATTTCCATTTCCTGACAACTTTATGACTATAAAATACTTCCTAACATCCCTTTGGCTCATCTGAGTCTTCAACTGCCACTTGGGACCCCTTGATTCTGAGTCCCATCTCTGGAACATCCTGTCTTGTCCGCCTTGTCAATTCCTCGCAGTATTTTTTATGTCGTTATCATGTCTCCCCTAGCCCCCTGTCCTCTTGTGTCGGCAGGACGATTTCCCTAACTAGGCTTTTTTTCTTAGGGCATTCCCCTTAGTTTTGGAACTAGTCTTTTTGCAAACGTTTGAACTTTCTCTAATTTTTTTGATTTGCTTGACCAGGTGTGGGTTCCAAACTGGTACTGCATACTCCAGTATGGGCCTGACGTCCACGGTGTACAGTGTCTTGAACGAACCCTTACTGAGGTATCGGAATGCTATTCTCAGGCTTGCAGGCACCCATATACTGCAGCAGTAATCTGGTTGATGTTCGCCTCAGGGGGATGTGTCGATATTATACTCGCCCCAAGACCCTTTTCCTTGAGTAAGGTTTGAAAGTCTTTGGCCACCTAGCGGTCTGCGGTCTTCTTTGGCCTTCCCCGATCTTCACGACTTTGCATTTGGTTGGGTTTAAAATTTCCCGTTTGCAGTTGCTGGACTAGGTTTCCACCCTGTTCAGGTCTTTTGTAGTCCTGCTGATCCTCGTCCCATTTAATTCTCCTCATTAACTTCATAATCATCTGCAAACAGGGACACTTCTAAGGGCTATCCCTTCCATCATGTCATTCACATTTACCAAAAATAGCCTGGGACTAGGACTGACCCCTGTGGGACCCCCCCTCGTCACAGGCGCCCACTCTGCACCTCGTCATGTACTTTGACTCGTTGTTGCCTCCCTGTCAAGTATTCTTGATCCATTGCAGTGCCCTTCTTTTATGCATGCTTGATCCTATAGCTCTTGCACTAATCTCTTGTGAGGAACTAGGTCGAAGCTTCTTGCAGTCCCCAAAAATGCCGTTCTACCCACCCCGTCTCTCTTGTGTCTTACTTCCGTTACCATGTCAAAAAAACCCAGTTAGGTTTGTGACACAGGATTTTCCTTTTAAACCGTGCTGGTTGTCGTTTATTTGCTTGTTCCGTTTAGGTGCTCCACCACTCTCCTGGGAAATCTTTTCATGACTTTGCATACTTTTACACGTCAGTGACACTGGCTGTAGTTTAGTGCCTCTATCGTCTCCTTCCCTATAAATGGGGACTACATTTGGCCATCTTCCATACCTCAGGTAGTTGCCCAGTTTTCAATGGATGTGTTGAAAATTGTTGTGTGGGGGCGCGGTGGTGTACTCACCTAAATGTAGTTTTCCTAATTGTGGTTGCAGGGTCCCATTCAAAAGTTCCTGGCCCCGCCTCTTCCTGGTCGCCACTTGGTCCACTTTCTCCGCTCCATGAGCTTTATCGCACCTCTTCTTGAAGGGTTTCGTATGGTCCTGCCTCCACTTTCCCGATTTATTCCACTTCCTGATACTCTGTGACTGAAGAAATACTTTCTAACATCCGTGTGACTTCATCTGAGTCTTCAACTTCAAAGTGTGACTCCTTGTTGCTGTGTCCCTTCTTTGGAACATGCTGTCTCTGTCCACCCTGCCGATTCTTCTTAGTATTTTTGTATGTCGTTATCATATCCCCCCTATCTCTCTGACCTCCAGTGTCGTCAGGCCGAGTCCCTTTTAAATCTCTCTCGTGGGACATAACCTTTAGCTCCTGGACTAGACTTGTTGCAAACCTTTGCACTTTCTCTAGTTTCGTGTAGTTTCCTTTTTTAAAAATTGGGACTAATTTGTTGCCCTTCCATACTTTGGGTAGCCGTCATGTTTCTATAGATGTGTTGAAGATTATTGTTAGTAGTACAAAGAGCGCCTCTTCTCCCTCCCTCATGCCCCATAGAGGGGATTTTATCTAACCTCATCTCCTTG